CAAAATGGACTAAGAAATCATCATTTAAAAAAAATCCTAAAAGAATTATATTAATGCATGTATATATTTGCCTGTATATGCACAAAATATCTTTGGAAGAATTTTTAGCCGTTAGTGAGGAGATGTGGGGTGGCTGGGGGATGGGGAAGGGAGGTAGACATTTACATCTTTTTGATTTTTGAGTCATGTGATTATATTACCTAAGCAATCTATCAATACAATAAATTCCTCCCCAGACCCTAAGTCATCCTCCCTCCTTCTTCAAAATGGTTTCTTCACTTGGCCTCTGGATACCACATACCCTTGATTTTCCTCCTACATCACTGGCCACTCCTCAGTTTCCTTTCCTGGCTCTTCCTTCTCTTCTTGAACCCTCAATTTTGGAGTTTCCTGAGGCTCAGTCCTTGGCCACCTTCTCTTCTGTATCTACACTCAGCTAAGAATCTATTATATATGCTAATGACACCCATTTTTATATCTCTATTCCTGACCCTCAGACTAGTGTATCCAAATACCTACCTGACATCACCACTTGGATGTCTAATAGGCCAGTCAATCTTAACTGTCCAAACAGCATTCTTTATTTCCTTCCTCCGATTTATTCCTTTCCCAGTCTTCCCTATCTCATTTAGTGGTATCACCATTCTTCTCCTTGCTCGTGCCAGAATTTCTTGCCTCCTCTATTTTCCTTATTACCTTACATTCAGTTAATAAGCAAGGCTTGAAGAAAGAGTTAATAAAATATATACTGGATATGACTGCTTTTTATCACCACTTTCATTACCATCTTAATCCAAGCCACCATCATCTTTCCACAGATCAACGCAATGGCCTGAGAATGGTCCCATTTTCCCTTTTGCTATTCTTCCCACAGGACTCAGGGTGATTTTTCTAAAACCTAAATAAAATCCAAACTCTTCACTCTGACCTACAAGGCTCTACAATATGAGATATGGCTCCTGCCTATCACTTTAACCTCATCTGTGCTCCAGCCACTGGCCTTCTTGCTGTTTCTCCAACTTGTCAGGTTTGCTCCTCCCTCAAGTCCTTGTACTAGCTGTTTCCCTTGCCTTAAACAGTCTTCCACTGCATCCTGGCATGGGTCGTTGTTCAAATCTTTACCGATGTCACCCCCTCAGGGAAGCTGTTGTCTGTACTAGCAACCTTCCATCTCTCGCTTTAGCCTCTCGCTCTGATTAATTTTTCTTTCTATCTGACAATATATATATTTGTTTTATTGCTTGTATTTCCCTCTAGAAGGTAAGCTACACAAGAACAGAGGCTTTGTCTGTCCTATTTAGCAATGATCACTGTATTCCCAGTGTCTAGTAACACTGCTAACATTGTAAATTCTTAAAAAAATTGATGAATGTACTACAATTAATGTTTAACCAAACAAAGGTATCCATATGATAAATAAACATCTACAGTTATACGTTTAAAAAAAACTAATAGCCATTGTACTGACATTATTAATGACATTTAAGATAGTTCATCAACTTTGGGCAGAGAACGCTGTCCTTACCCTAAAGGCACCCTAGAGTATAAAAGAAGATACTAACGTAGAATACCATATTAGTGTATAAAGGAAACTAGTAATTCAAACACCTAACACTTACAAACTGTACTTACCAACCAAATTTGCTGTACAAAATATTCGACCGCTTTTTTCCAGAATTTCATGAAATCTTAATTGACATGTTGCGATTGTTTCATAATCTGTGCTATAAGCTTGGTGGACCTCAAGAGTGATAGTATTCTTCTGGATATATTGCAAAAATAAGTCATTAACATGAACAAGATATTGAGAAGTGAAGTTATATACTGGGTGAAGGCCTCGCACTATGGGAGTTGTCTGGAGTTCAAAATCATAGAAAGCATAGGTACAAAAAGTGACAGGCTCTTTATCTCCAGATGCCTGTAAAACTTCAGAAGAAAAGGTTACTTTGTTGATATGGATTTCAAATAGATTTTCCCCTCGTTCTAAGTGGATGGTTTCATCAAATTCATCTACGGAGTCTTCTGGCATGATTTCTGGTTTAAATTTGTACTGCTTGGTGCCATAGGCAATATCCTTTAATTGGGCTGCAAGAGAAGACACACAGTTGAGAGATTTTAAAATATTGACATATGAAGACACAAACTGGCTTTTGAAGTGGTTGGATATCTGAGTACTTTTGTTGAATAGTCCTAATCTTAAATTCTATGACCATACCATTTTTTGATAAATAATAGAAATTCATCATTTGATGTCACTTATTAAACAAAAACAAAATTACAACTTCAGTTGCAATATAGCCTAAGCCAGGAAAAAGGGAAAATTAAAAAAAAAAAAAAAAAAAAAGATACAGGACTCTGAATGAACAGCTGAAGTAACTATTTGGATTCCACCTGCTCCTCTGCCTCTGCTCTGTCCATTATCTTCTTTCCTATAAAGTCAATTTCTCTTTCCATTGGCTCCTTCCCTTTAACTTATTAAGATATGTAATTTTCTACTTTCGGGGGTGATGGATATATTTATTATCTTGATTATGGTGATGGTTTCACAGTAGTATGCATAGGCCCAAAGTCACCAAATTGTACAGAAATATGCACAGTTTAAAGTATGTCAATTATACTTCTCTAAAGCTGTTTTTAAAAAGATATGTCTGGATTCACATTTTCCTCCTAATGTTACACCCAAATTCCTAGAAAGAATAACGTACACATGTGTCTCCAACTACTCATTTAACGGACATTCCTGCAAACCTTCTGCAAATAGCATCTGCCTTATTTTTCCGTGAAACTACTACAGAAAAAAACACCAATAACCAATTTATTGCTAGACTCAATGGACATTCATCCTTGTATTACTTGATTTCTTTGCTTCATTTGACACTGATGACCAGTTTCCCTTTTGTGAGCTTCTGTCCCACCTTGGCTTTCATCTCATTGTCTCCCTTGCTTCTCCTCCTACCTCTCTTCTCATTCTTTAGGGGTTCCTCTTTCTTTGTTAGTTTACTAGGGGAAACTTTTAATTCTCTTCTCAGTCTACACATTCTCATGGGTGATCTCATTCATTTTTATGACTTTCGCTACTATCAATATGCTGAAGGCTTCCATATTTCTATTTTCAATTCAGATTTCTTTCCTAATTCCAGATCCATATATCTAATGTTTTGCTTAACTCTATCTATCTAGATATCCCACAGGCACATCAAACTCAACATATCTAAAATAGAATGTATCACATTGTCTTCTAGCTATTTCCGTACTTTAAATCTCAAGTGATGATGTTAGCCTTCATCTAGGTGCCTATGCTAGATCCCAGAGAGTCATCCTAGATTTCTTTTTTTCTTTTATTCTTCTCACATTTATAGGGTCACTACTCTTCAACACTATTTCCTACTCTATCAAATTTGTCTCTGTCCTCACTGTCTGTCTCCACTGTACCTTATTTATACTTCCAGTTTATTACTCAGATTATTATAGAACTCAAACTGACTCCTTCCTTCACATCTTACCCATTCCTCCCAATACCTGTAGCACAATCTCCAAAATGCAATTCTGAGTTTATCTTTTCTACCTTAAAATCCCCTAGTGGTTCTCTAGGTTAATAAGGTTTCAACTCATCAGGGAGGAAAAGGGGCCTTCACGATTTTGTTCTTTCCAGCCTTATCTCCAGGTTTTCTTCCCTTTACTCAACCTGAGTTCCAAATCGATGCACCCACAGTGCAGTTTCTCAAACGTGCCACAATGCTTCACACTTTGGGCGTTTTTACCTGCCTCACTTACTGCCTGGAAGGCCTTGAGTTACTTTTACTTAGTGGTGAATTCTGTCATCTTTAAAGACTCCATACCTACCGTGTGAAGTCTTCCTCGAATCTTGAGGTAGAAATAGGCATTTTTTTTTCAATATTTCCTTGATACCTTTTGTGTTTTCTTAGCTTTACAGAGTGTATACTCTTCATGGTAAAGAATAACCATTTATTTACTTGTCCACATTTTGAGTTCCTTGAGGGAGGTGCTTCAGTTTTTTTCCTATTTTTTCCAAACTGACTAGCACTTTGCTTAGGAAGTATTAGGGGCTTGATCATGTTTATGGAATGAATCAATGAATTTAGCAGACGGATAAAATATATTGGTAAAGATTTACTAAGACTTGAAAGGAATGAAAATCCAAACTCTGTGACCTCTCTTTTAACCAGGAAAATTCCATTAAGCAAATTTTTATTGAGTACTACTTGGAATAAAAGGTACATACTGCTCCTTGACTTTTGGAAAGCCCTGTTCAGTTAGATAAAGATATTTATTTAGCCCTTCTACATAGAGCAGAGGTTCTCAGAGTGTGGTCTGGAAACCCCTAAAGGTCCTTGACACCATTTTGGGGGTCTTTCAGGTCAAAATTCTTTTTATAATAACACTAAAATGTCATTTGCCCTTTTCATTTTTATTCTCTCACTAGTGTATAATGGAGTTTCTCAGAGGCTACATGATGTGTGGTATCACAAGAGATTAAATGTAGAAGCAGATATAAAAATCTAGCTGTTTTTTATTAAGCCAGACCCTAAAAAGATTTACAAAAATGGGCCGGGCGCGGTGGCTCACGTCTGTAATCCTAGCACTCTGGGAGGCCGAAGCGGGTGGATTGTTTGAGCTCAGGAGTTCGAAACCAGCCTGAGCGAGAGAAAGACCCCGTCTCTACTAAAAATAGAAAGAAATTAATCAGACAACTAAAAATATATAGAAAAAACTAGCCAGGCATGGTGGTGCATGCCTGTAGTCCCAGCTACTCGGGAGGCTGAGGCAGGAGGATCGCTTGAGCCCAGGAGTTTGAGGTTGCTGTGAGCTAGGCTGACGCCATGGCACTCACTCTAGCCTGGGCAAAAGAGTGAGACTCTGTCTCAAAAAAAAAAAAAAAAAATTTACAAAAATGTTAAAAATTTAACATAATGTCACTGTTTTCATAATTTTTTTTTTGTTTTGGAGAGCATAACTTTTTAAAAATAAGTACTTTGATTTATGTTAACATGTAATAAGTTTATTATTCTTTTAACCTAAAAGAAATATTTTAAAAATTTCTTACTTTTAATTTCCAGTATGATAAATATCAATAAGTATAACTCAAAAGGCCTTTGTGAATCTCAATACTTTTCAAGAGTGTAAAATGACAGCTGGCATAGGTCACTGAATTAAGTGTTATATAGCAGTGGACATGAAAGAGAGACAAAGTACTTGTCATTGCAGAACTTACATTGTGGTTACAGAGAATATGCAAAATCCAACAGCTGAAGAACACTTATAATACATAGAATATATAATATATAGTTTTTGAGTATATGAGAGGAAAACTGGATAGGTAAGTGCTGAGCTGGTGTTTTTCAACACATAGTCTTACACCTGCCCTTGAATAGCTTGTATTTATTTCTAAATACATATATATAAAGAAGCATGGGCCCCAGGATCTCCAGGGGTAGGGCCTAGCAAGCTACATTTTAAACAAGTTTCTCAGGTGACTTTCCTACTTGCTAAAGTGGGAAAATCACTGTAAGGGCATTTCAAGTAGAGGGATGGTTAGGAGTAATCAGAACCAGCTTCCCAGCACAGGTGAGCACTGAGTTAGATTTCGAAGCAGGGAAGGGTATATCTTGCAGTCAAGGTTAGAAGAGGTCTAGGAAGAGCACACAGCAAGAACAAAGGCATGGTGGTGGTGGGACTGAGCAAGATGATTCTGAGAATGAGCAAGCAGACCTGTTTGGCTGAGGTGCACAGGTTGCTTAGAAAGGTACTGGTAAATTTGAGTCTGTGGTACTTTATGAAATACTTTTAAATCTTGCCTGCAACACTGAACTAAAAAGCCAATAGGGAATTACTAAGAATTCTCGAGCAGAAAAGAATTAGAAGAAAATATCCTTTCTGGTAACTTATTATTATAGCTTATGAACTGGGAAAAAAATATAGCAAAAATACCTCATGAGTGCAGGTTTGGATAACACTATGAACTGTTACAAAATCCATTCCTCTAGTTACTGTGGACAAAAAATTGTGTAAATTGTACCTTCTAGTTTCTGGATGCGTGCAGCCCTGATATCAAGAAGATGAACGTATTGTTCTACTTTGAGTTCATAATCTTGCTGCAAATTTTCCATCTTATGGGTAACTGCCTCAACCTCCATCTAAGACATAAAAGATAATAAGTTTCAGTATTTATGATTAGTTCCATTTTCATTATTCAAAGCTACTATGATTTCAAGTATTTTCTAGATCCTGGAAATACCAGAAGCTGTAAACCAAGGTTTCCTGACTTCAAATAGCTTATAGTTTAGAAAACTGTGCTTGGCCCTGTTCACAAATCAGGAGTAAAATAAACTAAACTCCATATTCCTTTTTATGGAACTGAGTTTTTATTTTGTTAAAAGCTAACATAACATAGTTATGGCAGGATTCAGGATAACTATAACTCATTTGCAGGACGCGCTAACACTAATAAATGTTAAGTTCGTTGCTACTGTTCATTCCCTAAAGCTAGGGACTTAAAAAATTGTTTTTCAACTATTCTCAGTACCTAGTTAAAAGGCTAAATTCCAGAGATATGGTAATACATGTTACCAGATGATAACAGATAATAACACATGATACTTAGAAAAGTAAATCTTCAGTAGAATATTATAGAAAACCTATTCTCTTGATTTAGTGTATTACATTACCTGATAATCTTTATTAATTTTATGTTGCATAATTAGCATGTTTCTTGTCTTTTCAAGTTCTTGCACTGTTTCTGCATGAGTTGCTTGCAGCTCTCTCATGGAGCGTTCTAGATCTTTATTAATTTTACTGTCTACTTTCTCTAAAAAGGAAAGGTCTCCACTTTTTTGTTCTTTTTGAGCCTACAACAAAAACATGTTTTATTACCAAAACAAGAATTTCTAAAATGTGACTGTATGAATTAATCTAAATATGGTAAGATACAATCATTAATTGAAAACAAATATATTTCCATTTTTTCTATCGGGAATAAAGCAGTCCTGATATATATATTTGGATAGAAATCAAAAAACAGCTTATTACTTCATGAAATATAAAAGAATCATGCATATTTATATATATTTCTTCATTTGATTAAAACCTACACTGTGATCTAAAAGGAAAGAAGTATATTTTCTTGTGTCTTCTTGTACATAGCAGAATATCCTAGAACTGGAAAATATCTTCTTGTTACATTTACAATTCAATATTTTACTTAAGATAACAGGGTGTACACCAAGGTCTCCCAGGGTAGAAAACTGTTGATTAATTTTATAGTAAGGCAGGAAAAGCAAAATGTTTTTACTGTTAAAGTGCTTTAAATAAGAGTTTTTGAGGTCTGTTTTAATGTAATTTTGATGTCATTATGAAATATGCAAACTAAATGTCACCTGACCACTTTCCTGAGTCTTAGTAGAGTTGATATGTAACACATATTAATGCATATGTGTGCAAAAGATGCACTAAGTTTCAGAAGATGCACAAATAATTCATTCTCCAAATATAAGGGTTACAGATCATTACAGATCACAGGTCATCATTATGCTGAAACAGTTATATGTAGACATGAAAATCATGGTGAAGTTCAGAAGTTACCTTTATAAGCAGGAGAGCTTCACTCAACTCATCAACATTAATATCACTCTCCTGTAATAGATTAAATAAAGGCTCACAATGAGATATTAATGGAAAATACAAGAGACATTCCAACTATTCAGATTATCTTCATGGAACATATCAGATGCCTGATACCATGAATTAATAAACTAAGTAATATATTCGTATTCTTTTGCTCTGTAGTATAGTGTTTTCTCTATGCATAAAATATTTAGATAAAAATTTTCAGTTTTTTCCTAAATAAGAAAATAACTCACCTGGTTGTAAAACTTCATGCGGTTTTTAAGTTCGTCAAGTTGTTGCTTTTGTTCCAGATATTGTAACTGTAGTTCTCTATTCTCTTGAATGAGTTTCTCATTTTGGTCTTTATAAAAATAAAGTCAACACAATTGGAAAGGTAAGTGAGAATTAGGTCTAAGAACACATTTTTAAATTATTTTAATTCCTCTTACACACCAAGCTTGATCTAGTGTTGTTCTGGTCAGAGAGGAAATTGAGCTAGCACCTAGACAAAGGCAGCAGGGGGATGAGGAACAAATGAACACTATCATGCACTATCATGTGTCTACCATATGATTCACTTGCTTATCAAAAACCTAAGATGTAAGTTCACAGTCTTAATATAAGGAAATTGTGGCCTCTGGGACTTCAAAGGCACATTCTATTTAAAATACCTAAGAAAATATATGTCTAAGTCTATGATTTCTACTTACTTATTAAGGGTCCTGAAAAGCATGCAGAAAAAAAAAATTTGTCTTTTAGTTTTCTATTTGACTTCTTTGAATTTTCTTTTCCCAACTTAACATAAAATCTCTGTATTAAAACAAGGAAATTTCACTGATAAATAAACTCCGAATCCATACTTTAATCAACCATACTTTCAACAAATCTGTTACGACAGGAGAAATGAATTTTCAAGCAGTGCATGGTAGTATCAATAATAACTCACGTGTGTTCCTTATTCACTGAGTTCATGCTCTTAACTAGCAGGACATAGACTTAAAGACATTGCTAAGGAATGGATAATGGTTACTTTTGCCTAGCCATTCAATTGCTATGACCCACAAGCAGGAGTGTAGATACAGTACAGCTTCAGAAGACAGCAAATTCACAGAGACTAAATTTTCATTTCCTGTATCAAATATGTTCAGCCTTTTTTTTTTTTTTAAATCATAATAGCTAGCTAACAAACCCACCGCATTAATCTCCTTTTCTTAAGTGTATTCTTCACTAGACTTCATCGGGACAGTCAGGTATCCTCCTTTGTTGTCTCCCTGTGGGCTAACTCTACACCATGTCATCCAAAGTGTCTCCACTAATTTCATCCTGCTCTCAATGATTTATGTTTATCATAAGTCTTCAATTGAAGTTGCACATTTTTGTTTCCTTAAAAAAAATCAATACATTTGCCAAGAATTCTTCACATGACTGCATTTGCATATTGATTACATTTCATACAAAAATGTGTTGCCGACATTTATAAGGCTTTTGTATTCCCAAGCTATAAATACTACATATAAATAAAAATGTTAAATTACACAGTTATTAAGAAATGGACTAAATTTGGATGTTTTTAATGTCACATATTTCCTGGCAATCTAAAAAGTTAAAAAAAATTGTGACCCTAGGGTATACAGATAACTTTTACTATCAAAATTACTGTATAAATATTTTTATCTTATTGATAGAGGTTAAAAGGTTATCCTAGCATATAAATTGCTTATATCTAACAAAGAATTCTCAAATATGAACAATACTTGGAAATTCTGAAGGTAAAGGTTAAATGCTTGTCTTTAAACTAAAAATCAGGATTAATAAACTTCTTTTTTCTTAGGGTGTAGAATAAGAATGTAGGACTATTTTATGTTGATAGGTTAAAACAATATCTAGGTAAGAATGGTTAGGTAACAAAAAGAAGGTAAATCTAGTCAGAAGGATGTTAACTCAAAGGTACTGAGAATAAGATAATTTCATCCCTGTCCAGCAAAACTTTTAAGGTTCTAAGAGTGAGCTAAAGTGTAAAGGACATGACTGCTCTATCTATATCCAGACATACTGTATTTTGATTATTATTTCCATGTTCTGGTTTTTCTATCCTTTCAATTTTTCAGAGCAGGGCTCCTAAGAATGATATGCTACTAGGTAAAAATAAACTTATTTAAATGTTTCCATTCTTTCCTGGTTTTTGTTTCAATAACTATGTCCCTATTCACTGATATGTTTAAAACTAGGGCATTAGTGGGAGAACAATTTAGTGGGAGAAGACATTACTGAATACGAGTAACCTTCTTTCTACTGAATTTTATGTAGAATTATCCACTATATTTTTCCTTTCTCAAACTGTTTATTAGGGACATAACTCGTGGGTCTTTAAAAAGTACTGAAATGGTATAGTTCAAAGAGGAAATAGACTTGCTGAATTATAATACGAAAAATCAAAGCACTCTGTACAAGATGAAAAATAACCTCCTTACCTTATGCTTTGACAAAAAGCAGGTTAAGCTAAACAGCATTTTATTCAAATGAGATAACATTTGACTCTTTTAAAATTATGTTCTTCCGACACACCATTAAGAAGCAGAGTGCAGAGAACAATTCAACTAAACAATTTTCAGAGCTCCTTTGTGCTAATATCTTCAGCTGTGATCAATATAACCATATGCATTATGCTGAATTATGCATTTCAGCTAAAGATAGAAAGGAACTTTCAAAAGCAAGCCCTCAAACACATGCAGTTAATTTAAGCATTAACCAAATGCAAACTGCATTTACATATCCTTCCCCCACATATTCACACAACCTGAAACTAATTTGTACCTTGAATAAAGAGGTGAGTATTCTCTAAAATAATTTGCCAGTTAGATGAATGACTGTAAGAAACCAGGGAAACATCTTCTGGCAAAGAACACTTGATACATGAAAAGGTAAATGTGTGAAGAGACTTCCAAGTAAAATTAAACAATTTAAAAATCTGTAATACAAAAAGGAACTTTCTAAATATAAAAGATTTCCTTAAATAGAAAATTTCAATTTTTAAAATTTATTATTTCCCTGAAAAAAATGGTTAAAAGCTGTAATATTTTTCTTACAACCTATTGTACCATTTTCACAAAGAAACAAAAACTTAAATCCTTAGACTTGTAAATTTGAGGTATTCCAACAAAAATAACTGAAAAATAACCACTGCATCAAAAATAAAAATTCAGTTCTAGCAATTTTTCTTTAGAAAATAACTGGATAAATGTGTAAAGATTTATGTAGAAAGATGTTGCTTATGATACTTAAAAAAATTGAAGCTACTTAAATATTCAATAGAAGATTGTTAAATAATCTATGGCACATCCACACACTGGAAAACTGTAACAACCATTATAAATGATGATGACATAGATTTATATTTATACTCAAGAAATGATTTCACAACATACTAAATAAAAAAAGCACATTATAAAACTCTATATGCATAGGAATAATTCTGAAAGCACATACATCAAATATTCACAGTGATAATCTTGAGGGTTGTGGAATTGATTTTTAGAATTTTTTTGTTTACTGGACTTTTATTCCACAGTGCACATGAGTTATGTTTATTATTTTTAAAAATCCCCAAAAATATAAGAACCAGTGAAAAAAGATGAGAAATGGACTAGATGAATTAAAATAACTTAGCAATTGTAATACTTAATAAGGAACTTCAGAATTAAATCAACAACAATAACAGGTTTTTTTAAAAAAAAAAAAACTAAGATTCTACCCCCTTATGAAAAGTTTCTTTCCAGAGACCAATTCAGATGTTGAAAAGATAACAGTTTTGGAATTCTTAATATCTAAGTAAATACAAAAATCATAGAAATAAAAAGGGTTTATTTCATTTCCCTTTCCTTTAAGAATGGGCAATTTAGCTCTTTTTGGAAAAGAGAGAAGGAATATAGAGCACTTTCACTTCCTTCAGTAAACAAGAATTTATTGAGCAACTACTAAGACAAAGTTACTCTGTTAGGTATTCAATATTGCACATTAAAATCAGGAACTACGTATCTTTGACATCAAAACTTTAAATATCCACCAGGTCAGAAAACATGTCATGACCTTTTCATTCCACTCATAATCTTCTACAGAAAAATTTATAAATAATCTATCATCAAATTTAATCACTTGGTGAATAAATGTACTAGTGTGTTTCATTGAAATTAAGACTCATCAATTATGAGATATGTTCTGATTTGAGACTTGTTAAAATGTGAAAAAAATGTCAGACTGCAATTTTAAAATGCTATCACTTACAAGATGCATCCCAATTTTAAAGTATGAAAAAATAATGTTCCTTATAGTCAATGAAATACACCATTGTGATCTTAATAAAAATATAAGAATACTAACTAGAAACACAATTGTTTTTTAGAGTCTGTATTAAACTTTTAAACATTCTCATGCAACTGAGTTGCAAATATTCAGAAAGAGCAACCTTATTATCACATTACTTGGTTTATCTAGTGGATGAGCAGACACAAACAACACTTGAAGCAAATAATTCACTTCCCCTGCTGTGCCTTTGTGTGTATATGTATGTGTATGTAATATAGTAAAGTTCAGACATCTTTAATTATAATTATTTTACTTCTGTAAGATAAGAAGGGTGAGATCTGTGACTTAAAACTTTCAGCTTATTAATTATTTTAGTAGGGACAGCTTGACAAAGCTTCCTGGTATTTAAGTTCACCGTCACAGAGTAGAATTAGACATCCCATTTTCAGAGAGATCCTCCCTATTCAACCTATCAAAAACAGCAAGCCACTTCCACCAATCTGTCATCTTACACTGCTTTGTTTTTTTACCATTACACTTGCCACCACCTCACATATTACATATTTATTTAACTGTTGTTAGTTTCTTTGTATTAAATTTATATTTCATGAGGGCAAGACCTTTGTTTGATTCATTGCTATATCCCCAGAACTTAGAACAGTGCCTAGCACTTACTGGTGCTCAATAAACACTTGTTGACTGTTGAAAAAGAAAGGCTCAGAATTTAGGAAAATTAAACAAATTAAAGACAAGTTGAATACGGGTCATTCTGAGAAAAAACAATTCCTCTGGCAAAAATGCTGGGCTGAGTAAGGGAAATTTTGAGCCACCAATAAATTCAAGCAAGTGGACGGCTGTGTCACCAGTACACAGCAAGGTGCCTGGCAAGCAGTAGGCACCACAATAAGTACTGATTAATTCAATGAACGAGCATCAGATGTCTGAAATGAGTAAGTCAGTAGTTATTTTGTATGTACCTCTTTCAGTTTTTAATCTGTCAAGGATTTCATTTTTGTCTGTTAAATCAGATTTCAAGGCAGTCTCAAGCTGAGCAATCTGTACTTTAAGCTGCTGTTCCTTTAACTTCCATTGCTCTTCATGGGCAGCACTGAAGGCACTGCAAAACACACGTGACACGCAAAGAAAGCTTGGAAATCAGCTTCAACCGAAAATAATAAAGAGAAAAGCTTTTAGTGGCACAGAGACCACTGTCATCATGTCTTAGGAATTAAGTAAACATATGCTGGTCTGCTGCTGTTGAAACCAAGGCGCCTTTCTCAGGCTGCGGTTAGGAAACATGAAAGAGTTTGTGGGATGAGCAAAGGAACTGGCCTTAATTTAGAGCTCTAAAGTCAGAAAAGTTGGCAGTGTGCAGTTTTTGTGGGACTAGTAAAGGAATTCAGATACTCTACATACTCCAGAGGAATCCGCAATTCCAAACCTCAGCAATTGACAACGGACAAAACCATTCTCTCCCACTTACAAACCTCTTAATACAGAGAAAATGAACTTTCCACCTGATCTTTAATTCTGTGAAACTTTTAAAGAGTCTGGGATAATAACATGTTTACAAAATACTGGCTACAAAATGGTAGCATACTGAACCACAAGACAGTAATTCTGATATTGATTAAGAGGTAGTGATAATGCATTTTTGTCCTAAGAAACAAAAAGCAATAGGCTAAGAACAATTTTAGTTGTAACACATGATCGGGATGAAAGCCAATGCTCTGTGCCTGATAAGAATGACGGAGATAGAATTACTATTCCTCAATAAAAGTGTAGCAGCTTAAACTATGGTTAAAATCTGCTAATAATCAAGACCCAGTATACTAGAAGAACAAATCAGTTAAAAAAGAAATGGTACACAGAAGGTATACAATAAACATTTATTTCTGTCAGTGGTTCCTAAATGCTGGCCTAACCACTGGTGCTAGACCAGCTGCGCTAAGGACACTTAGGGAGATTTAAAAATGAAGATCCCAGAGCCCAGGAATTCATATTTTTATAAAGCTCCCCAGATGATAGCCAGGTTTTGGAAAAACTGATCTTGATCTGTATTTCAGCAGAAAACCATTATTTGTGAAGCTTGATATGACTGAATAATCATCAGCAGCTTTGACCCGTCTACTTACTTTAAAACCAGTAAATAAAACAAGAACTTACATTATATAATCTCGTTTTATACTGATGAAGTAAATGGAAAAGAAACATATTACTGAAAATTGCCCTTAAGGTTGCTCCCAGCTAGTCTTAAGTTTTTATTACAAACAAGTTACTTTTCTGGGAGGCATAACTTTCAAAAGAGCAAAATTGTGAATTCATTTCACATTTTGAGTATTTTTACTGCATTTAAAATAACAAGATCTCAAAACTAAATGGAATCCTAGAAGCTCCTCTAAATATGACATCTGTTTCTTCTATCAATGCTCCCATTTCACATACGGAACCTTAAAAAATGCATGGATCTACATACCAATATTTTACCTTAATTTTATCAAAAGTATAATTACCTAGACTTAAATGAAATCCCAATAAAATATGTACTTTAAATACTAAACTAGATAAGATTCCTTTATATGTTCATTTTTAAAATAAAGAATATCATTTCTATGTCTGGCCAAATTATATATACTAAACTCATACATATAGATGCATGAATGTGAGTACATATATGCGTGTGTGTATATATGTGTGTGTATGTGTGTGTCTCTTGTTTTATTAAAAACATACACTACCCAGAAAAAAATTAGCATGAAGAAATAGGCACAACTATACACTATATCAGATGCCAAAAATTAGAAACAGTAGTGTTCCAATAGCATTAGTACCAGCAAAAAGATCACCAACAGCTAATCTGGCAGAAACATCAGAAGCTGTATGTGTTTAAATTAAGAACAATTTAGCAGCCTGGTTTTTCCAAACCCACAAAATACTAGTGTAAATCAGCATAAGTCAATCTGAATTTAGTCCACTGCTATCTTCCCTCTAAATTTAGGATTACATTCCACTGGAGTTTCATGAGGAATTCCTTTTGAATTTACTATATTCCTCTATGCTTGGAGCCATCTGTGTAACTATAAATGGTGAACCACATCTGGCTCCATTTTCTTTGTAAGGGCTGTATACATGATTAAATCTGCATATGAGAACAGTCTTTGAGAACCTTTTATTCATGAAAATGTTTTTGTGTATTGCCTACAGTG